TACGCAGGCCTCTCACTGTTGTGGCCTCTCCCGTTGCGGAGCACAGGCTCCGGACGCACAGGCTCAGCGGCCATGGCTCACGGGCCCAGCCGCTCCGCGGCACGTGGGATCTTCCCAGACCAGGGCACGAACCCGTGTCCCCTGCATCGGCAGGTGGACTCTCAACCACTGCGCCACCAGGGAAGCCTTGGAATATATTTTTATATTCCTTAGAACATAAGAAGGTGGATCTAATGGATTAAGAAGAATCAAGACTATTGAGGGCTTCCCTGGTGGCACAGTCGTGAAGAATCTGCCAGACAATGCAGGAGACACGGGTTCGAGCCCTGGTCTGGGAAGATTCCACATGCCATGGAGCAGCTAAGCCCATGTGCCACAACTACTGAGGCCCACGTGGTTAGAGCCCGTGCTCTACAACAAGAGAAGCCACCGCAATGAGAAGCCTGTGCACCACAACGAAGAGTATCCCCCGCTCGCTGCAACTAGAGAAAGCCTGCATGCAGCAATGCAGCCAAAAATAAAATAAATAAATTTAAAAAAAAAAAGGACTATTGGTACATGAAGCCCTACTCTCCTAGTCTGACTTGGGACCTGCTGAGCACTCTTAACTTCCTGGATCCATCCTTGTGTCTGCTTCCCCCTACCCACCTACCCGCACACACTCTACCCAGGTGCTGAAGGAGAACTGACAACTCTCCTTAAATTCATTGCCCTGTCCTTTTCACTTTTAAGGTCTTAGTAGTATTGTGAAACAAGAGCAGAAGCAGATGTAGATAAGCAAAGCGATTACAGCAGCAGAAGTATGAAGGAGGCAGAGGGAAGCTGGGGGTCGAGGAGAACTGAAGTCTGCAGTACCTTGGATTAATTGCCGGAGAGCGAGAGCGCACCATATCTGGTGCCAGGAGTGGGATAGAGAGTAGGGAGAGGGACTGTCAGTGGAGGAAACAGAGCTCAGAAAGTCTACTTATCCTCACATTGGGATATCCCAGAATTGCCCCATCCAGTCACCCAGAAGGAGGTTGAGTTCTTCAGCTGGACTGCCAATGATGGGAGGCAGATGGGCAGGACAGTGGGGCCAAAGGAAAGCAGGTGGGCCAGTTCTGCCACAGCAGTGGCGCTGGATGTCAGGGTCGGGAATAATCCTGGACACTGGGATGGTCGTCATTTTGGAGTCTTGGTGACCAGAGACCTGAAGTAACCCCACCAATACCTTGTATTTTCTGGTGTCCTTAGACCTGAGAAGAAGAGGAGCAGAACAAGTACCATGGGTTTCTTGTGACTCTGTCATGGAGTGTCACAGCAGAGCCCAGAGTTCTGGAGGTTGTATTTTTCGTCTAGCTCTTCCTAAGCATATGTTCCTTCAATAAGTGCTGAGCATCTCCTGAAAATATAAATGAGACTTAGACATGATCTGGCCCTCACAGGGCTTTTGGTCTCAAGGATTATATGTGTGTGTGTGTGTGTGTGTGTGTGTGAGAGAGAGAGAAGAGAGAGAGGGAGAGAGAAGGAGAGAGGGTGGAGGAGGGGAGGGAGGGAGAGAGAGAACACACAAGTAAACAGGTATAAAATTTTTAATTGTGATAAATTTTATGAAGAAAACAGGATTTTGAGGTAGAGAGCAAAAGATGGGGGAAGAGCCTATGAATTGGTGATCAGGGAAGGTCTCGTTGAAGAGGTAACTTTTCAACTGAGTCCCACAAGGTGGGAGTCAGCCATGAGAAGAGCTATAAGGAAGAGCATTCCAGAGGGAATAGTGTATGCAAAGGCGCTGAGCGTAAGAAAGAGCTTGGCAGTTTCTAGGAATTGAAGTACACCTGGAGTAGAATGGGATGATGTTAGAGAAATGAGCAGATACCTGGCAATTCATAGCTTAATAGGTTTTATTCTAGGTGCTTGAGCAGCGACTGGAGGATTGGAGGGGGGGAATGACACGATCCTGCCTCTGACTTAAAAAAAAAAAATCACTTTGTTGTGTGTATGAAGGTAGCAAAACTTAATTTGCTATTGCAGTGGTCCAGAACATTTGTGCTGGAGTCAAAGCATTCTGTGGAAGTAAAACTGAAGAACTGGTGTGTGCAGTGAATATGAAGGGTGAGGGAAAGTGAGGCTTCCTATTTCTGGCTTGAGCAACCGGCTGTGTTGTTGAATGAGATGGGAAGAAAGGGAGAGAAAAGGTTTGGGGATATTGCTGGTGGTAGAATTGTAGTTCTCTTTTGATTACATCATCTTTGAGATACCAGTGAGATATCTGAATGGAAATGCATCAGAATTAAGAGTTCGGAGCTGGTGATGTAAATGTGGATGTTAACAAATCTGTGACATTTTAAACCATGGGAATAGATGAGGCCACCTAGGGAGAGAGAAGAGGGCTCCGAATTGTGCATCCAGAGTGGTATGAGGACGTGGGCATGCAGTAGAGGGAGTGGCTCCCCCTGGGGAATGTCTCCTTGGGTAAAGAATTAGATGGGGTGTGTGTGTGTGTGTGTGTGACATTTTCTAGGCACTCATTTCAGTCAAGATGATTGTCAAATGTGAAGATACCCGAAGTCTAAGAGTAGTCGTATTGAACTGAGAGCTAGGGCAGGAAGCATTTTGACCCACCTCTTAGGCACAGATACTGTATCGGGCAGTGCAAGGTAAAAAACTCTCTGTCCCCGGCCCAGGAGCTCCAGTCACCCTCGTCCCTAATGAGTCTGCCCGAAGCAAGGCCCCGCACTCACCGGAAGCAGCTTGCCACCGTCAGTACCCACTGCTTTCAGATGAGGATGGCCACACAGATGTGAAACAAGCCCTGACAGTTGCTGACCTGCCAGGGCCACTGCCCCACGTTGGCCTCCGTGCCTGAGGCAGTGCCAGATAAGGCCGAGGGCCGCCCACAGACTGCGGACAAAGAGGAGAAAGTCCTGGGAGGCCTGCCCCTCCCCACACTGGTGTCCCCTCCTCCCTCCTCCTTCGTCCCATCCCCCCGCACCCCCCCATGCTGGCCCTGGCTGGGGCGCCTTACTTGACTTCACGAGATTCTTTGGTCATCTGTGCCTAAGAAGAGGAAAGGTGGACCGTGGGGACACCCAGGATGGCTTCTTATTGCCGAGGGCGGCCCACACCCCAGGCCCTGTGCACCCCCCTCCGGGGACTCTCCTCACCCCAGGGGTTCACCTGAGATCCCCAGCAGAAGGGGCAGCAGGAAGACACAGCCCGCAGGGCCCATGTTTCTGTCCTCAGAGCCAGCACTTCCTGCCGTCTGGACTCAGACTCCCAGGGCGAGGCCCGCCGGAGAGGAGAGGGGCAGGGCCAGCTTCACCTCCTAGCTGGTCTTCGGCTTCGCCCCCTCCTGTCCTTTGGTCCTCACCCTGGCCAGCCCAGATACTGAAGGGTGCAGCTGCAGGATCCAGGGGGCGGAGCTAGGGCCCGAGGCGCCCGCTGCTGTCCCGGCAGAGCAGGGTGCCTGGGCTTCCTGCCTGTGGGTGGAGGAGGGGCCGTTGGGGGTGGGCGCTGGAAGGAGCGGGTCTCACGCAGTGCAGAGACCCTGGTGTGGGCCGAGGCCAGGCTCACAGGCTCCCTCTGCCCCGTCTGCCACATCTCAGACACTTGCCCTAGTTGCTCCCATCTTCTCCCCCGCCCCCTGGCCGAGGTGAACAGTCCAGGGCAGGTCCCTGAGCTTGGGTCACGGAGGGCTGTGCAGAGGGCTGCCCCGAGTCCTGGGCCTCGAGAAGGGCTACAGGACTGACAGGAGAAGATGAAAAGAGGAAATAAGCCAGTCAGTTAGCTGACCAATATGTCCTGCTTTCTCTCTTTC